AGAAGTCCGAGCAAAGTTCCAATGATGGAAGCGATTAGCTCAAAGAAGTCGTGATTGAGGTCGGCGGTTGTTACTGGCGGCATTCGGTTTCTCAGCACAATTGGGCTTGAGAAAGGGAAGGTGAAAGCTTCGAGCTAATTGTTAAGCCCAAGCGTCACGTGAACAGATACACGTGATAAACAGGTGTTCCTTCGCACTTCGAGGAATCACCTGAGTTCACTTATATATATATCCGAGCGATGTGACTCAAGGTCAGAAGTAGACTCGAGGTAGAATGGTATGAATAAACTTTAGCTCGAAGCTGGGGTATACCAGCAAGAGCTGTCGGTCTTAAATACTACATAGGTATCGCTAAGAATATAACTACTTATTGTGTCGTTCTGTGTCTATGGTGCCCGTTGCCCTTGGGCGTCGCTGTTGTACATAAAAAGGTAATTGTGCGTCGTCGAGCGTTGTCGTATCCAGGCGGTTCAGTTGTGCTTACTAAGCCTTTTCCCGTGGTCTTGTGCTATGACTAAGCATAAATAGGGGTAAAAGAGATAGGGGTAAAAGAAAATCGTAACACTGTACCAGTGGAAGGACATGAACTCCCTGGTCAGTGACCACTTCTACAACCAGAAGTTCCTCCTGGATCACAACCATGACTGAGGGGTCAGCCTTAACAGTGAGTAAGCAGTCAGAATGACTGCCTTGACCAGGGGGGTATTGTCATGATCATGACCATTTCACACCTTCATGATCTTCACAGTGCATGCTTTCCATGCCATTCCCATGCTGTTGTTGTCCAACAACCACACTTCACAGCCTAACATGCCAACATTGCTCATTATTCATTGTTTCAGGCATGCTTATCATACAAATACCAAATGCTTTACACATCTTCTAGGTATTATTAGAACACACTCTTTTGTATATAAGGTAGCTCAGCTGTAGCCTTAAGCTCCAGCTTTGGACTAAAGTTTATTCTTTCCAATCTACTAAGGTCCAACTCCAAGCATTGTCTGACTTGATTGTCTAAGCATCAGCTTACTCAGCTCACTCTTGTGCTGCTTGCCCAAACATGAAGCACAACCTTGAGTTTGGTCTTGTTTGTTATAGTTGGTTGCTAACAACATTGAACTGATTGTCATCTCTCAGGCCCATATCTGAAATGGACTCAGAGGCATTTGGTTGCTGTCTTTCACCAGCACATACATCTTTTGTACTAGTACAACTTTTATAGACAAAAAGCAGACTGATACTTAATCAAAATCAAAAGAGAGCAAGGAGTGTATGATGCTAAAATATGTGTATCCTCTGACAAGCCAGCATAGCTGGGGAAGCCAAAACCCCTTCTATGAATACTCCAAATCACCACTCCCCTTTTCAAGTGGACTCTTTGCTGGTGCTAAGCCAGAGAATGCCTCACTGGAAAATCTGTTGGCTCTGGCAGAACCCCTGCTGCAAGGCCTGCACTATGACTGGTGACTATGATCATTACTGAGACCAAGGAACCTAGCACTATCACTATCACCTGAAGGCCCACTATCTGACATCCCACCTCCATGGCAGCCAGAAAGCATGGAGCCATGAGAAGGCCTCAAACCAGCCATTGCAAGAGATCTGATACTATTTGAGAGAAAAAGCATAGATCTCAATCACTTTTTCAGCCAATGCAAGGCCTACTTTGAGGTCTATGGCATATATTTCTTGATGAGCACTACCAGCTTTAGTCTATATCAAGTTATTTTTTTACTCCTCATGGTTCAAAGAAAAGATGCACAAGTGATGGGACCATCAGGAACCCCATCTACATGACCAACACACTGGGTGATGGTGATACAGATTGTCTAGCTTTAATGCAGTGTAGACAGCTCTCAAAGTAACTTCAATGTTTCAATAATTTAGAAAGGACTAAAAATAGATCAATAATCTCGCTTCTTAGAGACATTCAAACCAATTTGTGTTACACAAATTGAAAACCCACCTGAGACAGCTTGGCAACCTTAATGGTCAAGCTTGAATTACAACCACCACCATCAATAGCCTCTTTGACTTCCAATGAAGCCCTTGACTGGAATAATATCTTGGCTATTGCAAAGAACATCTGGATTCTGAATAACCAGCTGGGTGAGAGGTTCAAATTGATTGACATCTTGGCTAATTGGTGCTAATATATCAGAATAACAATAGTGAGCCATTCCTTCATCTACATATGTTACCACTTGCATAGTTCTGCTCTGGCTATTCAAAACCTGTTCTGCATTGATGAGACTTGCATTGCACATTGGTTTGTGGGACAGTTAGGGTTTTGATAACAACACAGGGATAAAATGTGGTGAGATCATGGAGTTCTAGTCATATGCATAAATATCTGAATGGTCTCTTTCTAGAGGTTCCTTCACCTCTCATTAACCAAAGTGTTAGATACAGAAGATGTATATTCCCTCTGATTCAATCTTCTCTGGCATGCAATTGTTTGGTGTGTACAATGAAGAGGCTGAAGAGAAGAAGACTGAGATCCTGATGTATGTGAGGCTGTTGCAGTTCTGCACATTCACTACCTCCTGTTCAGATAAAGCAATTGGATGCTCAGTATTCACAGTGTTGCAGTGGTCTCTCAGATGTAAGCACTAGACCTTAGTCAAGTGATGGGTTTGACAATATTGAAAGAGTTGGTACTTGCTGAAGTGATACAAAGTGTCAAACTGAAGCAGTCATGAGAGATCAATTAGCAGTGGATAGTGGCTCTCTGGTGTGTATAATAAGTATGGTTGGTTATATAAAGAGCTGGGCCATCTGAATCTTGTGCCACCTGAGGTACCACTGTTAGTATCAGATGAAGAGACTTGGCTCTAGTGAGGTGCTCCTAGTGACTCACCTTATTTTCTTCTGCTCCTGCTCACATTGCCATACCCTGGCACCTTTTATCCTCTTTTTCACCATTGATCTTTTTTTCCCCTTTTACTATGATGTCATGTCTCCGACCTACTACTTCACTCAGGCAATATGTTTCTAACTCTATTCTCCAGTTGAAGATCCACCTGTTTTATGCGAACCCGATCACGATCGGTCTTAACCTCTTTTTAACCTTGTATTTTTAGCATCCTTGCCGTAATCCATTGGAGCACGGTCAAGGTTCCACCAGATGTCCAAATTTATTGTAATGGCACTACATACACCCATAACCAAAAAAAAAAAAGTTCAGGAATAGATTACAAAAAAATAGCAAAAGCAAAGCAAAAAAACGTTTCCTTTCCCCGTGATGCTGCTATTCACCCCTCGGTGACTGACTAAGCGCTCCCCCAAATCCATAGTCCACAATACTCCGATCCCGGCCAAGCAGCGGCGTCCGTTCAGTGGGCGTACCAACCGCCGAAACGCGACCACGCTCACGCTCGACAATCCTATCAACAAACAGTTAGGATATATAAAGGAAAAAGAAAAAACGCGCAAGGACGTCAGTTACCCCCTCATGATGGCGGCCGTCGTCATCCGCTTTGCCTTCCTCTTGTGCACGTTATCGTCGTAGCGGTCGGTCTCGTCGACGATTTCTTCCGATATGATCTCTTCGATGATATCTAGGGCGCTTCCGTCACTTGGCATGCACTTTCTGCTGAGGTACAGAGGGGTAGTTACGCACCTTCGAGTGTGATCACTCCGATGGCTCCGCCGGCGATACCGGGGGTGCGGGATATCAGAATCAGGTGCGCCCGGCCTGTTTGGCTGTGAAAACGAAAAAAAAAAAGTGTCAATATTCCATGTTGCTTGCTTCACGTGTCGAAGATGTACGTACAAATAGTCCAGTGCCTGAAAACAGTTTATCGAAGGATGCGCCTCGGGAAGAATGGATAGAGGGAACCTGGATACCGGAAGCGCCTTTGCGGGATCGTATGTGAGAAGCTAATAAGGGACGGGACGTCAGAGGACAGCGTCAGCTGCTATCGCCACTGGAACGGAACTGCACCTTCTTCACCAACAACAGACCTGTGAATGACAATGGGTTTCCCGGATCGTGTATGGGGATTCGCGAGTATCCGCTCGTCAATCTGGTGTAATGCTCGGCGGGGCGGAAATAGAAAGGCTCAAAGAGGGGGAGGGGGCGCACATTGTATCGATCATCTTGTGGTCGAGTATAGTATCCCTGCTCAGGGTAACCACGTCCTGCGATATATCACACTATGAGTACATACGTGTACAGTGTCTGGGAAGAATACACATACCTCCATACGCGTCATGATGGTCTCGACATTCTTCGAATTGAGCTCTAGGACACCACTGAGAATCGATATCTCGTCCTCTCTCAGCGGTTCCTCCCCCGTGCGGTGGAACTGCAGAAAGGACTTTAGTTCTGCTTTTTTGTAGGTGTGGGTCTCGTTCGTGCCGAGGACGAGGTCGAGGAGCTTGGCTATAGGCCATGCTACGGGCGCTACGAGGATTATGTGTGGGTGTGTTGATGAGGGGACTACAGCAGCGTATCATCACTCACCAAAGACGTACATCAACACCAAGACAAACGGAGTGCATGCTGCACCAATAGCAAGGCCATAGCGGACACTCAGTGATTGAGGAATTATTCTGGAGCATGTATAAATAGAGAGTATCTATGATGGCAATACCAACTTACTCTCTGGAATTGAATGAGTCGCGTATGTCAGAAGAAGAGACGCGTACCCGAATATCACTTTGACGAAGCATGAGTAATGTTCAACAATGTGAGAGAGGACAATTCACCAATTGCCGTCGTGGAAAGCGCTACCGCAGCTACGCCTCCACCGATCTAGGATCATTAGCCAAGCAAAGGGACGCGAATCAGTGGGTTATCACGTACGACGCTGTCGAGGAAAATGGGCAGACTTTCGTTAACTATCTGTGGGGGGGATGAGCCCCAGTGTAGAATATGGGGGCGGGGTGGGGGGAGAAGACATACAACGTTACCAAGAAGGAGCACCTACACGATGTCAGACATAACAGAGAGATGAAAAGGTCAAACGCACGACCAGGACCCAATGTCTTCCTTTCCGCATAAGAGATAACACTTTCTTGGCATTTTTCTTCTCTACAGGATTCTCAGAAGATGTCGCCAGCACGCGTAGATGCAGCTCGTCGAGGCCCATTAGACCGAGAGTCAAGCTGCAGGGCGTCAGGAGGGAAAAAAGTAAAAAGGACGAGGTCCATAGAGTGAGCTCACCCAGCAAACACGCCCCCCATCAATACGAGTATCGAACTTATGATAATCTTCCACCAGAATTCTGGAGAACCAGGCTCGACACCGTGGACATGTTTGCTTAGGTTCTGTGCTGAACCCTGGTTGAGGTACGGCAGAGCATAAATGAGTCGGTTAAACAGCAGAAGAAGGATGGGCCGAGATTTCATGAAACGGAACTGAGAGAAATGAACGTGATCTTTTGGGGTGAGGAGCACAAGTGATCTTTCCTTGGCGACGCGGGGTTGCTTGAAAAAGGAAATGGGAGAAATAGGGGCGTCAACGATACGCCACTCTTCGGACCGAATGCCGTATTAGGCGGCCGAATGACAACCGATAGCAAATTTTGCTATCAGCGTGTATACTGCATAATAGAATCAGTCAAGGTGAGTCCTTATTGCCATAGCATAATGTAAAGGTGGTTTCGCCACCGAACGATAAATGTCATGGAGACTTGTACGTTCATGACATGCAGAACATGCGCATGGTAACAATGTCCTCTACATACTCTTTGGATTGAAGCATCGATGAAGCGCTAAAATATAAAGCTGTAAGCTTTAGTGAAGATAGGTGGGGGTTCCATAACACTGGTATTTGACAGAACGATACAAGAGACCTGTACTGGAACCGTCTCACGGAATGTCACAAGAAGCGCATTCCGTACAGGCGAATGAATACAGGGTACGAACTATTGCACACGATGCAACCTCCAATACTACATGTTCGTCGTTTCGTCATTTGCACGAGGCAAAGGAAACAACCGTAGACGGTTTCATCATCTCTTGGCGGCCTTGTCCACATGTTCCGCTGCCTGTTCGGCGGCGCATATGAATCCGGCCGGCAAAAATGGCTTGGCTCCGTGGACTTTAACAGGCGGACAGTATGGAGCTCGGAGCACCTTTAACATCGAAGCGCCTACAGTCCAAAGGGATAAATGATGAGCGCCGAGTCATCCACACGCGGAGGTGAATAGGGTGACCGTGAAGTACTAGGGGATACAGGATTCTTGGGCGCTGGCTATTGATTGTTGTCCGCGGGCTCAGCAAGTGTTTTGCTCCAACATGACTGCAGGTATTGGTGATTACACCGAGATCGGAGCAAACGCTATGAAGCGCTCGTTCATCCCGTGCCAATCGGTATTCAGTATTGCACTGCGCAAGGTAATAGCATGATTCGGGCGGGGGCACTCGGAACCTCGGAAAGAGAACTATAGGAGCGAGTTGAGGACATAGCCAAGGCAGACGTCAATATGTTTTACTCATGACAGGCAGCATTCGGGAGGATTCCCCACTGCTTAATAGTCATCTTCGTCGTCTCCGTGACGAAAATTATCTACTTCACGTCTTGAATTCGAGAGCCGACTGTCCGTTGATGGATATCCGCGGGAAGGGTACCGAGCATTTAAGACGTATCTATGGCCAAGTCTGAAGCGCCAAGGTCTAGCACTGTGCGTTCAGTTAATGGACTTTCCCGCAACGGCTGGAACGCTTTCTGAGCTCCGACCTGAAACTGAATCGTCAAAAATGATCACAAAATTAGATGTATGGGCGCACCCTGTGCTAGGTCGACAGTTCTCGACTGGCCAAGCTTCGGAAGTGAGTAGGCTGCGGAATATCAACATAGAACCACGGTGCGTAGGGGAAAGGAGGGGTCAGACATCCAGCTTCCTCGGGGCAGAGATACTTTTGCACTTGCTAGGCGACGGAAATCCAGGTGTCCTACGCTAGCGCTCGCCTCGCAGATGTCGCCATCCTTTCAAATCAGAGTAGGGCAGTCTCATTGACAGAGAAGCGTATATACCGCCTCCTGAAGTCATGTCAGCGACAAAGACGCGACCGAGCACAATAAAGAACATACTAAACGTTATTGTCCTGCATAGACTCAACGACACTGTCCATACACCATAAGACAAGCCAATTGGCCTCAATTACCCATGGTATAATTCCCTAACAACGAACATTGGCCTCCTTCATCGAAGATTGGGACTGCACCCAGGCGATATTGGGGGTTCACAAGGGCTGAAGATAGGTCATCACTACAACCAGCGGTGAAAATCCAATATTAGACCGACGTCGACACCGCAGTCATTCAATGCTGCCGGTGGCGCGAATGGGGCGTGAACAGACGGACAGATCTACGAGAGCCATTTGTGTCACAGGAGCGGGGGAAGATACCTTGGCAAGAGGTTATGGTGGCCAAGATGATAGAGTTGTTTGTTAAGCATGCCAAGTAACACCATCTCGCACCGACAAGCCCTCACCTAACAACACAATGAACATCCACCAACATTCAAACACCTTATTCAAACTCATGAAACAGTTCTTTAACATATAATATTAGGCAAAATAACCGTTATTTCCAGAATTACTACGATAACTACACTTTTCTTCCTCAGATGCTGAGTCACATCTTCACAGAAAGAAGTGATTAAGGAGGGGGGGGGTTCCAAAAATTGCTAAAAGCCGAAGCTAATAGACGGGTTCGGATGTATAATTTGCAATCAGCAAAATAACTGTACCTCGGTAAAGACCTCACTGGTGACAGTAAACCCTAGCACAAGAGATAAGAAATCTCTACCGTGGGAGACTGCATTATATACTCTGAAAGTCGTGCACAGACCACTTCCCAATCAAGAATATGCGCACGGACCATTTGGGCGCACAAGGGCGAAATCCATAACACGTAAGTTATGCTCGGTACATTGACTCCAGCACCGAGTCTCTTCGAAACAGTTACCTCAGATCGGTAGCATGGCGCGGTTTGATGACCTGATTTCGCAATCCTACTTAATCGTTCCATCCTTCACGTTTGAATGCGGTACAGAGCTGCAGGATGTGCCCGTGGCGTACAAGACTTGGGGGAGTCTGAATGAGGCAAGGGATAACGTCATGATTATTTGCCACGCATTTACTGGGAGTGCAGATGTAGAGGACTGGTGCGCTCTCCGATGGTCAGATTGCTGAGAAATGAAAAGACCAATTAATTTACAGGTGGGGACCCTTAATGGGTTCAGGAAAAGCCTTCGACCCGAAACGATTCTTTATTCTGTGTGCCAATGTCATTGGATCTCCATACGGTACGGTTTCGCCTATATCCACTAACCCGAAGACAGGCAAGCCATACGGACCGGAATTTCCTGCGTCGACTATACGAGATGATGTTCGGTGCGTGTTATTCTTTTTCTAAGGAAATATTACGCTGATATGCGCGTTTAGGCTGCACAAACATGTCCTAGACCATCTGGGCGTAACATCTGTCGCAGTAGTCATTGGAGGATCCATGGGGGGCATGGCTGTCCTCGAATGGCCCTTGTGCACGCCTCCGAACTACATTCGTCACGTCATCCCTCTCGCCACCTCTGCGCGCCACTCTGCATGGTGCATTAGCTGGGGGGAGGCCCAGCGCCAGTCTATTTACAGCGACCCTCACTACGATGACGGCTACTACGGCTCACAGCCAGCCTCTGGACTCGCGGCAGCACGCATGGCCGCTTTGCTCACCTACCGTTCTAGGGATTCCTTCGAGAGCCGTTTTGGGAGGAAGTACCAGCTCACGCATGACTCACGCCCCCAATCGCCCGACCCGGTGTCAGCGCACAACGACGGTCATCGAAACTCACGCAATGGGGCCCCGTCGCCGCCTCCGAATATCTTTTCGGCGCAGAGCTACTTGAGGTACCAGGGGGACAAGTTCACCGCGCGTTTCGATGCGAATTGTTACATCCACATCACGCGCAAGATGGATATGCATGATCTGTCGAGGGGACGGGAGACGCTCGCGAGAGTGCTTTCTACCCTGCCGCCGCGCGCACTGGTGATTGGAGTCGAAACCGATGGTCTTTTCACAACGACGGAGCAGCGCGAGATCGCTGCGCACATTCCCGAGGCGGAGCTTGTCATTATCCCCTCGCCAGATGGACATGACGGGTTTCTGCTGGAATTTGAAGCGATTAACAGGCACGTGTTGGACTTCTTGAAGAGAGAGTTCCCGGAGGTATATGCACTGGAAGTACATGAGGAGGAAGCGCAGGATGGAGGAGGCTTCGAGGTGAAGAAAACGAGCCTATTTGGAGAGGCTGAAGACGAGGTAGATATTACAAAGTGGTAGAGAAGATCTTAGAAATGTTTTCGGTATCCTGCCCTCAATTATTCTTACTGTTAACAGGTTATGTGAAAGCCCACATCGTTTAGTATCTATCAGAAGTGGGCCAGCGCAATTGAGGCCGGGGCATCTGCTGGAATTGAGGAATTGAGGCTTGTCGGCGCCGCGTCCCGAGATCCGCACTTCACCAGATGTGGCTGTGTGATGTATCTCTGCAGACTGGGTGCCAAATAAACCCTTCCCTGGCACTCTCCACGACGCTGAAATATTCCTACGGCACGACGACGCGTGGTAGCCTCGTTTAAGCTGCGAGTGCGACATATTTTCCAAATGTAAGCTTACTGCAACCGCTGCGACAGACAAATGGATCCTGAACACGGTTTTTTCCAGCATTATTTCACCAGTTACCGTCGCACTCTACCTCGGCGAATTGCTGCGACCTCCTTTGGGTTCTGGTCCCGCTCGGCGTCGTCGAAAAGCGGGAGAAACTCGGCAAGATCCTCTTGTGAATCCCTTCCGTCTCGTGGTAGAATCAACATGGAGCCGCCATTGACACCGCCGACGAATGGACATACAAATGACCCGCCGCCACCACCACCCGTCGAGCCGGCCGTTTCGTTCGACCCGGAAGTGTTCCGCAGCTATCTTCTGGCCTTGCTGCCACCGTTAATTGGTGCGGCACCGGCGGAGCTCGATTCTCTGTTCGACGACGAGTTCAATGACCGCGTAACACGATTCAGCTCGGAAGGTGGTGGGGTCATATACGTCGTGAAAGCAAAAGATGAAGTCGAAGGTGCGTGCTTCATTTAATTGTTGTACGAGCTTCTCTAAGATTCTGCTTGTGGTAGAGGAGGCCGTGCAGACATACAGTTACCAGCTCACCACGCAATTAACGTATCATCCATCACATCTGACGACACTGGCGTTGATTAAACGCGGGCCGACTCTCGATCCCATGGTTCCATTGGCGACGCAGCTTCACTTTTTGAACCTGTTTGGCGGCGACGAGACGCCGTACGAGAGTCTGCACGCAGTGGTGAGCTGTGGTGTCAAGCCATGGTTCGATGCGTTCGTCGGCTCTCGTGGCGGAGGAAAGAACGGTGGCGAGGGCAAGATGGGTGAGCAGCTATTATTCCTTGGTCGTCTCTTTTTCCATTTCACCCCACTCTCGCAGGTATACCCATGACCAAGAAGAAATTTGCCGAACTCGAACTCTCCCTTCTTCACCTCCAACAAAATGTAGAAATACCAGAAACGAATCTGACAATACATCCTGTGATACAACGTGCCGTCGAGCAGGCACAGGTAGCCGGGATGCGACCCAATATCTCCCACATACCCGCCAAGATTCTTAACGATAGTGGATTCCTCAACACGTTACACGGACACGTCAATTCGTGGATCAAAGCAATACAAGCCGTTACCAAGCTATCGAGGGACGTCAACTCGGGGACGGCATCGCAGGAAATCAATTTTTGGCTTAGTCTCGAGCGGGCGTTGGAGGGCATCGAAGCACAGCTACGGAGCGAGGAAGTGAATATGGTTATGGAATGTCTACGGAATGCTAAACGGTTTCGCGCTACTGTGAGTTTTGTTGCTGATACAGGATTGAAGGACGCCACGGATCTAGGTAGGGTTTCCTCTCAGCTCGAAAGACCGACCGTACACTGATTTGCTGGCTCTTACAGTACACAAGTATAACCAGCTAATGAAAGATTTCCCTCTGAACGAACTCCTCTCCGCCACTGACCTCGACAAAGTGCAAGAATCCCTCGTCCTTATTTTTGGGCACATTAATCGCAAACTCCGACTGTCCCCCTATCCTATCCGACGGGCCCTCCCCCTCGTCGAGGCCATCTCCCGAGACTTCAATGACCAACTGCTACGCATTCTCACCTCCCACCGTCTACCATATACCCCTTACGAAACCTTCGACCGCCTGCTTGCACAGACGATGAACATCTTCCGGACCTGGGATGATTTGATGAAAGAGTTCACGAACGTCGCCCGCGAGGTGACGAAGAAACGCTCTGAACGGTTTATACCGATCAAGGTGATACCTGCACATGCGAAACTTCAGGAGAGAACGCGGTACTTGAGAGACTGGAGAAAGCAACACGAACAGCTGGCGGTCATGACGGGACCAACGAAGGGTCTTGGTATGGGCATGGAGATAGGAGGAGGGATGGACATGGAGGAGGAAGTCAAGGAGGCGTACGAGGTTGTTAAGCGGATCGACGTGCTGGATGTCTCCGTTGGTTAGTTTTCCTTCTTGTTGGCTTTTCCTTTGATGAACTTGCGGTTTATGCAATCATTCGCAGAGGGCACGGAGATCTGGGTGGCTGCTGAGAACGCGTATAATGAGCGCGTGTCAAGGGTGGAGAACCAGATAATTGCGCGGTTAAGAGATCGACTGGGTACGGCGAGGAATGCGAATGAGATGTTCCGGGTGTTCTCAAAGTTTAATGCGCTGTTCGTGCGGCCGAAGGTGTCTTTCATTTTTTTTCTTGTGTGTTGATGACCCTGGCTCAGTCGTGATTGTTTAGATCCGAGGTGCCATTCAGGAGTACCAGACCCAGTTGATAGATTCAGTGAAAGAAGACATCAAGCATCTGCACGATAAGGTTGGCCATCATTCCGTTCCTCCGCCCCTTTAATTTCTGGCTCATCGTTCTCCTGTAGTTCAAAACCCAGTACCGCTATTCCGAAGCCTACCACATGTCCCAAATGCGTGACCTCCCGCCTATCGCTGGTGCGATCATATGGGCGCGCCAAATCGAACGGCAACTCCTCACATACATGAAACGGGTAGAAGACGTACTCGGTAAGGGCTGGGAGCTCTACGCCGAAGGACAAAAGCTCCAGTCTGAGAGCAGCGCGTTTCGCAAGAAACTGGACACCCGACCTGTGTTTGATGCGTGGCTGCAGGATATCAACCGGCGGAATCTGGGTGTCGATGGACGGCTATTTGAGATTGTGCGACTGCGCGGGACGGGTGGTGGTGGCGGTGGTGGGGCGTTCGCGTACCAACTGGCGGTGAACTTTGATCCTCAGATCATTACGCTCTTCAAGGAGGTGCGGAACTTGCTGTGGTTGGGTTTCCAAATCCCACATTCGACCACGAATATGGCGAAGGATGCGAAGAGGGTGTATCCGCGTGCCGTGAGCTTGATGGAGACTGTAAGGACGTACGGTCAGACGCTTGATTTGGTGGAGAGGAATGGGGGGATTGAGTGGTTGGTTGCGGAGTACCGGAATGAGGCGCAGCGAATGATCAATAAGGGTAAGGTTCCTTAGTTCTTTGGTGGGTTGCACGTCCCTGACAAATGCTCTAGGGATGAATATTCGGTGGGACTACTTTGTGACTCAGTACGACACGGGACGGTATGTCACTGGCAGCGATGGTCGTGACAACCGACAGATGCAGTTCGTTCGAGAGTTCGCCAGTGTTATTTCGGTGCTGCAGGTTGGTTGGTGCTCGCATAACGGTGGCGCCATAGTGCTAATCCAATCCCACCTCACAGGACAAGACGAATAATGTCATTGACCTATACAAAGATATCCTGCGCTCCATCGAAGACTTGGGTACGTGCTCGTATACCAACGAGGCGTTTTCTGAGCTTCTGAGCCGGATACAGGCTGCTGTGCGTTGCTTTTTCTACGTTTATTTCTGAACTGTACTTATTATAAATCGTCGTTCAGATTGACCGACTGAACTTGGAAGGCTATGCAAACCTGGACCACTGGGTTGCTGAGGTCGACAAGTCAATCGAGAAGATCCTTCTACAGCGGTTGACGCAAGTTATACATGTCTGGTGTCAAGAATTTGACCGGACGGATGATGGAGATACGCGGAGGGAAGCTTTGCCCCTGCGGGATATTACGAACAAACGCCGGGGTGATAAGCGTATAAAGGAGGAGAAGGTATGGCGCGCTCCCGATTTGAGTGTGTACGATGGATGTTTTTTTGACTGACCCGTATGTCAAGTTTTTGGAGGCCAACATGACTCTGAAGCCTCTGGTGCATGAAATACGTATACAGAATCAGGTCATCTTCTTGGACCCGCCGATAGAGCACGCCCGCGCTTCGTGGATCCACCAGTTGCATCAATGGCTAGGTGAAGTAATTCTGTTTCTTTTGGGTCTTGTGCCTGACCTACTGTAATAAGGTGTCGTCTGTCGACTACGGCGAATACAAAGCTCACGATATGAGATTGGTCTGCAAATGCAAGGAGGCACCGTGTCCGAAACGACATATACGTCACTGGTACGCACGCTCCTTTGATCTCAGAGCTGTTGGTTCGTGTACTTATGCTACGTCCTCACAGCTCACCCAGCTGCATAAAGATAGCCTAGAACGACCTTTTACGCTCATCGAAGCCAAGGTTCAGCAACTGAAGGATTATGTGGCGAAGTGGCTTCAGTTTCAGTCGCTATGGGACCTGGAAGCGGAATACGTGTTCAGTCGGCTGGGAGACTCGCTAGCGCACTGGCAGCAGCTGCTGACGGAGATCAAGAAGGCGCGCTCGACGTTCGATACGTCCGATACTCAGAAGAGCTTTGGGGTGTGTGTCGTTGATTACGAGCAGGTGCAGGCGCGGGTGAACGCGAAGTATGATTCGTGGCAGAAGGATATCCTCAGTCGGTTTGGAGCGAAGCTTGGTAATGCGATGAAGGAGATGCATGCGGCGATTCTGAAAGCGAGGAATGATTTGGAGCATCATTCGATAGAAGGACTCGTTGGTGGCGGTGGCCCGGGGGCGAGAAGGTTCTGATCCGATCACTCATTTGTTCATTTTATCGTTCCGTTCATTCTCTGCTTTTTTTTCTATGTGGTCTTTCCGTTTTCAACGCTCCTTCACTATATTTTTTTGCATTCTAATGACCTTGTAATGATATTTTCTTTCTTAAATTCTCGTCGATGTCGGTGTTTTATTTTTAGGGTTGCGCTGTTCCACGTGATATGCCGCTATTCCATTAAGCCGGCCTCCTATTTTTGTCTTCTTTGGGCGTCACTCTCACTGGTACCACCATTAGGTATATGACCGGATTGTTAAGTTGTGAGTCTTTTATTTGATAGAATAAAACTGAACTAATGAAAATGAATCCAGGATTTTTGTCTCAATGTCCAGCAACTCAATTCATCTACCTCAAGAACTTATTGACTGTATCATCGACACCCTCTGTGACGATAGAGCTGCACTTTTGTCACTACATGGTGCTTCAAGGTGCTTCAGCAATAGAGCATGCTCTTATATCTTCCGTACCGTCTCCCTCCGAAGTGACCTACTACCGAGATTCGTCGAGCTGTGCTCCCAGTCCCCGAGAATCCTCCCCTATATTCAGGACCTCCACGTGTCAGATTATACACATGAGATGGACGAATCACTCCGTTGGCTACCAAACATACACAGCATCTCAGTTGTAGATGGTCCCGCGACGTTTGTTGCCGTCATTTTTCCCACCATCACATCGCTCGCACTCCGAAACGTCGCGTTTCCCAGCCACTTGGAGTTTGATGGGTTTCTTCGGCGGCTGTCGAGGCTGAGGCATCTGTCGCTTATGGATGTCTCCGTTCCGCGATATTGCAGTCCGCCGCTGACGGTTGAGAAGTACGGCTTTGTGCTCGAGTCTCTGGAGGTGCATTGCCGGGCGTCGATGAACGCCGTTCGGATAACGTCCGAGAATGACATGTGTCCCTTGGTGATCTCGCGCGCGTTGAAGAAATTGACGGTCGCTATCAGCGTCGTTGATTTCCTGCCGTTCATTCTGAAAAGACTCTCGGAAAACGGCGGTCGAATCAAAACTCTGTGCATAGGCCCAAGTATCGCTAAAGACTTCCAGACAGGCAGGTTATTCAACGCTATCGACGTGAGACGTCATTCTTTAGCTAATTAATTTGTCTCTCAAGGTCCAGCGAATTGGTCTGGCATACCGTGCCGCGACACGCTTTCCGACCTGCAGCATATATCCCTTACGGTGATAGACATGCCGAATGTGAACCCCATCCCGTCCATACGCTGGCTCGTCAACTTCCTCAGCCACGCCCCCGTGCCTAGCGCCCTCTTCTCCCTCACGCTCACCATTGCCTTCTCCAGAACGAGCAACGGGTATTTCCTCATCTTCAACCAGGGCTCTATCTGGAATGACGTGGCGGCGGCGCTGCCGGCGCTCGCGCGGTGGGACATCCGCCTGACCAACTGGGATGCGATGAGGGATTTGGAGTTTCGGACGTTGTCCCCCGCGTCTGGGGCTGTGAAGCGGCTCATTGAGAAGAAGCTGCCGGGTTCGGGGCTGTGGGGTGTGACGAGAGTGGGGGTGGATTATTTCCCGGAGGGGTATAAACGAGTTAGCGGGGGCAGTGCGTATTCTTTTTTTGTTTTTTTCGCGGTGGTGATGCGATTGACCTAATTTTTTTTTTTAGCTTCTGTTCGAGAGTCTAGGGCGGCGAATATTTTTGCATCGACGCTCAATGGTGGGGTCATTCGGTTTCGGTTGGTATAGATGATATTACAGTGCTTTGGTACTAATATCAGGTTTGGGAGGGGCTAAGCTTATGCTGTTCGGACGGTCCGTGATTGATTGATCGTCTGCTAATCGTTTTTCCTATACCATATACATTCCAGTAGAACTGTGAATATACGTTAACTGAACGGGCAAGGGTTATACAGCATGTTTCTGTAATCTATCCTTTTGGCTCGATCAACAGGAGTGTGTATCAGTATAATAAGATTTCAAACTTTCCCATGTCTTCTCCTATAGTTTGTCGAACCGCGCGCATGCTTCTGTGGAAACTCGATTCTAATTTCACTCCAACATCTGTCTCAAAGTCACTAGTGCACTGATCTGAAATGTCTAAAATTGCTAGCAGCATGACAAACTTGAAATGGGACTTAGAATTGAATTGGCAGAATATCAGATCGGAGGCTAGATTTGACTAGTGTGATATAGATCCATTATGATCAGCACTAGTGCATCTGGGCTATTCTTCTGATCATGATCAATGGCTGTTGCAGATGTGCCTGTAATGGCTAGTCAAATATCCTTGATGGTAATGAGGTATTACTGGGTCTGAGAGATGGAATGAGGCCATGACCAGAACTCCTGGGCCTGCTAATAGCACATGACTGCTTCTAGTACCACTATTGCATGATTATTCACCATAAAGCATGACTAGCCCAAGAAAATCTTACCAATAATACCTCTCTCATTTAACTATTTATGGCTTATAGTACCTTTTGTAGATTGTATTTAGCTAGTAGAATAGGGTGGTGAGTGATAGGCAAGCTATTCCCATGATTGTGATATGCTAGTAGCATCTTGTACCCCAATTAAAGGCTTTTGTACTTCAACCCTCAGTGAAGCAATGCTAGTTGCTAAGTCTACCTTAGAATTGAGTGAATTGAAGTCTGCTTTTGAGCATACTATTGTATCTAGAATGACCAAGAGTATTCTTCAAAGTTAGTCAAAAAAGTACTCATAGTATAGTGTTATTCTTAGGCCAAGAGAACTACTAGTTTGCCTAGAATGTGACTAGTCAAGTGTTTATTCACATGTGGAAAGCAGTTTCAGCCAAGAGTGCAGTAGCTCAAACCTAAGTCACTTTTATTTAGAACTGTGTCTTACTCCTGCTAGTATGAGTGATACCTTTGTATAACTTACTAGTAACAAATAAAAGTCCTTTGAACAATGCTTCTCTTGATTATCAAGTCTGCAGAGTGCTTCTATTGTATTCAAAATGTTCAAATTCAATCCATTGATGATAAGTGTAGAGTTTGAGAGGTTTTAGTGTTGGTTGGAGTTCATTGCCACCCACTAGTCCTTTTGCCACTTGCCATTACTGAGCACATCAGTGCTCTTAATGTGACTCTCCTGTTGGTATTCTTATGCTGGCAGCCTGAGTCTACCAACCTCTCCTCTCTCTCACTCCTCTTATCATCATCTTATACCTTATCATTCTTATCATTCTGCTTCATCATTAGTTAGTGTCAGATCCCAGAGATTGCAATGCTAAGTATTTGTAATTGTTTGATCATCATCTGATAGAAATCATCACCACAGTTCCCACTTGCCATTTGACATGCTTAAGCAAGATGTTCAAAGATAGCAATATGTACTGATAAAAATTTATCAGATATTAATTCTCTCATAAAATCATTATACAGATACATTCTTGATGCTGCAAAAATTCTAGAGATTTTTAGCAGATGCTCAGAAGTAATACTTGCAAGAAAGATATTTGCAACAATATCAACTGTATTTTCATTTGAGTTTAAACCACTAAAGAAATTATTCATCAGATTAATGCTCTAGATAATATGAGAGTACACACCTGCAAGAAGACTCATCAAAAGCAGCATCCATGAGATCTTTAATAGCATCATATACTAAAACATTAGTTGCAGGTCTTTTTTTTATGAGTAAAGGATCCTGTGCATTCTGGAGTTTACAAACTCACATGGCTGCAAAAAATAGCTTTTTAAGCTGTGACTGAATAATAAGTAGTATGCTCTCAAGCAACAATAACTTAGTCAAATATATGACTTACAGCACTAAGTAATATTTTTATAATAGGCTCATTTTCTGATTATGCTTTGACCATTTAGCAGACCAGCTAATAAACAGAAGAAGATAGTGAACATCAATGATATGATCTCTTATCTGTCTCCCAGCAAGTTTAATACCCAAAAACTCCTAAAGAAAAAGATAGTCAGACAGAGAGAGCTATAAAACTCACCATTGTCATTCAAATTCTTATTATTATTATCAGCTTCATTTATTGTATTTCCTCTTTACTCTCATTATCAAGATCATAACCAAAAATCTCCTCAGTAGTAAACTCATCATTAGAGATCATATAATTGCAAAGAAACTCCACTTCAGAGTTATTTCCAACTCCTGTTATATGAAGAAAATCAGAATTGCTGTCACCACCATCATGTGGAAGATGAAACTGAATACTTAGACTTGCAGAGGTCTCATTGGACAAAAGTTCATGCTGAAAAGGACACATTGGTGTTTTTAGTGAAAGTGAAAGATTTGTGAGTGTGGTTTGACATTCATAAGACACTTCTGAGAATGAGAACTGTTGATATTTTTTACAGATTCAGGTCAGTATACTATACATAATGATAAAATCCTGTTTTACAAACTAACAGTTCACTAAAAGACTTCACAGTTTGGCCAGATTTGCTGACTTTGAGTAGGCCAAGTCAAGATACTCATATTCCTATTGGAGTGGATTATTTCATATGAAATAGATGCTATACACAATACAGCATACATTTAATACTCTCTAATACCAAAATAATAGCTTTTAAAGGCACATACAGTTGCTCTCTATAGTTTTTCTGCTGAACCAAAGTCTTATTGGAAATCAGCAAGCATATCTGAGCAGCATTCCTGATCACATGAGCATGCTTTTCAGATGCCACAATTATATAGTGTATAAAAAAGTTTGCTTTCTATGTCTGAAACTGCAGAGTCTTGCAGCTTTTGCAATTTCAGATTAATGGTTTCATCAGAAATCATACTATTTAGGATAAGAAGCTATTATATAGATGATTTGAATGTAAAGATTAAGAATATAAATAGTAATAGTAATAGAAGCACACAAAAAAATACACAGCATGAGATGCTGTGGCAGTATAAGAATAAAAAAATGGCTGCATGTCTCAGCCACCCAGCATAGTCACATGGTTACCTAATCTTGGTGACCTGCCTCTTTGGAATCCCACTGGAATCTTCATATTCTCTACATGTCTCATTCTCAATTTTTATCACAGGCTGATGATCTTTGGTTTGATAACAGCAAACCAGTGTTCTCAACTCTGATATACAGATCATATATGCTGAATAGAAGAAGGCTAAATCTAAGGAGAATATCAAGAGTTGAGATCTTATTATTTTTGAGCTGCTGTGACTATATCTTAACTAAGTTTGTCAGACAGTGCAATAGTCTATGTATTTGTATATATAATACTGATTTAAATCTATGGATAGACTAAGCATTCTATTATAGCAATTACTTGCTTCTACCATCTGTTGGTTTTAAAACACTTTAAGATGATCTATAGGATTACAACTCAGAGTTTTAGAAGTTGCAATAAGATCTCTCTTGAAGAATTAGGCTAATCATATTGCTGCTCTTACAGATCATTTGTTATAAGTTATCTTTAGTGTTTCACATGAAAAGTGCATCCTTACTGCTAGCTGGACTCAGTTCTTTATCACAACAAGAACATCTAACAGTGTGTCTCTAACTAGAAGTTATGAATATGCTAATGTCAGTTCAGAACATTCACTGCTATTTTATGATAAGATTGCTGAATGCTGTTTGATATTAGAAGTGAGATTCAACTTATCTTTTGTTATAGCAACTTTAAGATGATCTTTTTGATATAATAATCATGGTCACAATGTAACAGATTTTTTGCTGTGTTACTGCATGCTATATAATGAGAGATGATAGTTGTATAATATTTACAGACTACTCCCTCATTTATCTTTCACATTTCTCCCAGACTTTCTTAACATCCAATCAGACTGACACTGATAGAGATATTATATACTAATTTCTTAATTTTAAACTGAATTCAAGAATATTCTTCTCTCTATTAAATGGTAGATATATTTATTTGTTCAGATACATGAGTTTAATTAGAGCTCTATATAGGCTTATATACTCCATCATCAATGTGTAAGACACTTTTCAAAGCTGAAATGCCAGGACTTGTTTTTGACAGTGAATCTGATTAGGAGTCAATAGATCTTGGATTCATGATAAAAAGGTTGACATTTGAGCAATGTAAAATCACTTCCAGTATACAGTATTTGGCAACAAAAGAAACTGCACCAGTGATGAACTTGACATCAAATGATACTGCATAGTGATTGATATATTGTGATAACAACAGCTGTAGAACACATACTAACCCTGGTTGCAAAGGTACTCAGATTGACACTCACCAAATAACCAACACAGATATCAGAATCAGTGACAGTGCTGAGTTTATCTCATATTAATGCTGTGATCCAAGAGAAAGATTTGTTGAATAACTGACTTGAAAAATCAAAGCCTCCTCACTTCCATTCAGATGACAACACAAGGTGAAGGAGATGCAATTACACAATATGATTAGACTCTATATTCATATAAGATACAAGATCAAAAGAAATGATACATACACACTTTGGTAGTAGGAAGTCTAAGAAGTCTAACTGTTGAAAGTGTTATAGACTTCTGTAATACACAGCATAATGACTCAATCACACACTCCATTGATGAGAAGATGAATATAAAGTCCCACAATAAGCAAGAGCAGTCACATAGGAAAGATGAAGATTTTTGACAAACCTGAATTTTATGCACAACTGTACTGTTTTAGGAGCATTATTTTGGAGATTAACAAACTTTGTGTTTTGGGGGATCTCAATCCCATGCCACTCTCCAGAGATATATTTCAGAGGCATGCAAATTTTATGTAAAATCTCTGCCAAGATCAACTTCTCAAAATATCATCTTGTTATGCACATTCTGATTTCCCTTGAATTCTCATCTTTCTGATGTGAGTATAGATTCACATATTATGCACCTAAAAGTGGAGGGAAAGCTGCTATCAGAGATACTGTATATCAATTCTGATTTAAAGCAGCACCACTAACAGGTAATATGACACTTTGCACTCTGCCTTTCTTCAGCAATAACATTAAGAAGAAGCTGCCAACATCTTGGAGGTCCTTCAAGCTCTGGTCATAAAATACTCAAGTAAATGAGAAGGAGATTTGTATCTTCTCAGTCACATGTCTTGAAAGTCTAGTATGTAAACAAGCAAATGCATGCATCAAGCATGTATATATATCACAATGAGATGTGTTAGACTCAAGCTGCACATGATCCAAACACATGATAAACTAGTGTGGTTTCATCTTTGAACCTTTGTGCTAGAGTTCACCTGTTGTGTTTAGTTGACTGAGTGCTTCAAGGCCTTTGCAAGTATAGCTCAAGAGTAGAATAAGATGAATAAACTTAGCTTAGAGCTGGGGTTTAACCAGCAAGAGTGAGCCTACTTATATACTGTACATCATCCAAGTAAATATAGAACTGCTTATTATGCATTTCTATGTTCTTTGTGCCTTTTGTCCTTGGGCATCATTACTGTCCACAAACGATCATTGTGTGTTGTCAAGAGCTTGTCACTATATCAGAGGACAATGATAGATCAGCTTATTGTGCTGACTAAGCATAAATAGAGATTAACTTGAGGAAAATAAAGAAAAAGGTAGAAAAATCATAATATTACCTCTGCCTTAAGACCATCATCTCAATGGCTTAATTTAGGGATAATTTGTAGTCTCAGATAGTATCATCAGCATTCATCTGTTTTTTGTTCACCCATTAGTTGGATTCAGGACCATAGCCCTTCCAACTAACCAAGTAATCAACAGTTGTCATTGTATCTCCCTCTTTAGCCTCAGCTTTGCATAATTTATGGTTCAATATTTGGTTGATTTCATAATGTTCTTTATCATCAATTAAGTCAGGCAGTGGTGGTGGGAGATGTTCTTGATTGAAAAATGCAGATGTGACAAATGAGGTGAGAAGCAATTTATTGAAGATGTCATGAATTCTCCAAGAAGTAGGAAGGCACAATTTATAGGCAGAGGTGCCAACCTTAGCAAGGATCAGGAAGGGTCTGGTACATTTATCAGTGAGTTTTCATTTCAGACAAGGGAGGTGAAGGTTGGTTGTATCCAATCAAATCTTGTCATTAACTTGATATGTATGAGCAGAGGAGTGATGTTTGTCATATTGCTTTTTCATAGAGGTGGCTGCCTTTTCAAGGGCAGTTTGTATTTCATCATGAATTTTGGACATAGTAGCAGTGAAGTTGAATGAAGCTGAAGTTGTGGTGCAGGTGCATTCAGTGTGTGCAATGTGTGGATGGTGGCTGTAGTTGACAAAGAAAAGAGTTTTACCAGTTGCAGAATGAACACAGTTATCATGTTAGAAGGCTGTGAGAGTGAGCCATTCCACCCAATCATCTTGTTGGTAGTTGATAAATAACCAGAGATATTTCTTGATTTCTTGGTTGATCCTTTCTGTCTGACCATTGGTTTGCAGGTGATATGCAGTTGATGCATTGCAGTGAATGTTTAGCAGACAGTAGAGGTTGTCAAGAAACTTTGAAATGAATTATAAGCTGTGGTCTGAGATAATGACTTGAGGCATGCCATATTTGGCATATACTTTATTGCATAAAATCTTGGCCCACTCTTCTGACATTAGTTCTATGGCACATGTGATTGGGATAATTGCTTTTGGGAACCAATCAATAATGATAAGAATGGCATTATAGCTATTGCATTCTGGTAATTCAGTGATCATGTCTATGGAAATATGCATCCATAGTGCCTGTGATACCTCATTCAGATATAACAGTGCTGCTTGCAGTTGAGTAGAGGACTTGCCACACTGATAGGTCTCACATCCTTTGATATATCATTCAATGTTCTGCCCCATCTTTGGCCACCAATATTCCCACAAGACCAATTCTTTAGTCTTTGCAATCTCTGAATATTCTGCAGTTATATGATCATGACATGTGATGATGATTTTGCCCTGCAACTCTTGGTCTCATGGGATATAGATCCATCTGTTGTAGCAGATCATCCCTCTCTCCTTTGTCATTTCTCACTCATGATTCAGAGATGGGGCCATGCATTGGTCCCATTTGCCAC